ATATAGTGGGGAGTTGGCGCGCTTTCCGGTTGACCAATCCCGTGGTAGAACTGGGTGTGACGTACACTATATAGCGCGCGAGTTTCAAATGTTGTGTCAATAGCTGTTCACTAGTTTCTCTTTGAGTGTACGAGTGGCTGTTTGATGGTGAGTACATATTTGTAGTTTTTACTATGGAACCTATTCATATCGTTAGAAGCCATGATACGTATGTTAGGAAATTTAGAATGTCTGGAAGAAAAACCATTTTTAAATTTAATACACCACCGGCTGGTTATAATGAACTTGATTGGATCAAAAGTGGTTTTGCTCAGTTGGTAGAGGAAATGAAACGTGAATGTACAGGGGCGAATGATTATTTAGGATTTACTTTGAAAAGTTTGAATTTAAAGAATAAGGAACCTGGATACGTTGCTTTTAGACCATCAGAGGAGGTGAATGATGATGTTTTGTGGACTATATTTGGGGGTATTATACAAAGTAATGAAGAGTCTGTTACATCTAGTGATACATTTATAGTGGAGTGTACTAAAGTTAGTCTACCTGTAGGATCTGGGGGTCATAAATAATCAGGTTTCTATAACAATTTTTCAGAAGAGTGTCGTAGTAGAATTGGAATTGTTACAATTAAAAACATAGATAACCTGTGTTTAGCTCGAGCTTTGGTAGTTGGAAAGGCTCATGCTAAAAATGATCCTCTTTACAAAGCAATCAAACAGGATAAGGGTAAAAGACAGACGTTGCGAGCTGAAAAATTGTTGGCAAAAGCTAGGGTTTCAATACCTTTAGAAGGAGCTGGCATTAGAGAGTTAGAAAAGTTACAGTCTCATCTAAAAAAATACAAAATAACTGTTTATAACTACAATACGAGAGGTAGAGAGACCTATTTTAGTGGTGACAATGCTGATGCAAAACTAAAAATCAACCTTCTTTTTAATGAAGGTCATTTTAATGTTATAACTAGTTTAACATCAGCATTTGCCTGTAAATACTATTGTGAGGCTTGTCATATTGGGTATGAAAAGCAAAATGAACATAGATGTTCATCATTGTGTTCAGCCTGTATGGTAACCTCTCCGCCCTGCAAACTGGAACATGATGGTATTACTTGTCCTGACTGTAACCGTCATTTTAAAAATTAAACCTGTTTTATTGCTCACCAAAAAAACATTTGTTCATCTGTAAAGAAGTGTGGGGAATGTAACCGGATTGTAAGACCCAAGGGTAGAAAACAGATCCATGTGTGTGGAGAACAGTTTTGTAAAGTATGTTTAAAATATACTGATCCAAACCACAAATGTTATATGAGAGTAGATTCAAGTAGACCTAATGCAAAGAGCTTTTTATTTATATTTTTTGACTTTGAAACTCGTCAAGATGAAAACATTCAAGATGATCCAGAGAAAAAACTTCATGTTGTAAATCTTTGTGTTAGCCAACAGTATTGCTGGCAATGTATATCAAATGATGATGACATTCACTGTGAAAACTGTATGATCCGTCAAAGAGTGTTCAATGTGAATCCTGTAGAAATGTTCATGAACTATGTAATGGAGGCAAAAAAGAAATTCAAATCCGTTTGTGTAATTGCGCACAATGGGCATGCATTTTACATAAAACATGCATGTTTTATATATTTAGCACGACTAACCTGTTGTTAAACTCAAATTCCAAACAGTTCCTAACATATTGTCTGTATACTAAACATTTTTTAATTCCAAACTCTAAGACTCTCTGTTTTATCTTACAGAACACCAATGCAGAACTAAGGGAGGAGTGGCGATGTGACTGGACAGATCCAAGAGCATCCAATGTAGTGAGACAGTGGATACAGAAGCTTCGAGATCTACTTGTTTTCGTCAGCTACTTTGTGGCTCGGACGAGTGCGATCCAACAGCAATTGTTAGCTGCTACTGTCTTCAGAGAAATTTATCATTCCCTGACGACAGCCTTGGCAGCAGACAACAGGTTGATGCGATCGTATGCGGCTGAACACAGGAATGACGACTACAACGTCTATGACCACACAAGACCATCGATGGACCCAGGGCCAGCCCGAGAACAACATCTTGAGTGTCCGATATGTATGGAGTCTACTCCATCAGTGGTACTGATACCGTGTGGGCATATATTTTGTGGACCCTGTTTGCTATTTCTTGGAACATGTCCAACATGTAGGAACGCTTTTGAGGCGAAATATAATATTTATTTTTAAAAAAGTCTTTTCACTTTGCTCAGTAAACAGTTTGCAATCGATTTTATGCTTACCGATAAACTATAGATTTAAAAATTGATACATAGCTCACAAATGGATAAAAATGTAATTTTATATCATTTTATACTGTTTATTATATTTTACCTCAAATGCATTCCTGTATGTTAATATTATTTCTAATTGTATATATGTATATCTTAGTATTCAAGTACTCTTAGTTTATTATATCATAGACTTATAGTAAATATATTCTTATTCTTGTTATATATGTAAAAAAAACTTTTGTTAAGTATTAATGATTTTATATATAAATCTTAATAATCATTTATTAACACTATTTCATAAATGTTATGTAACATGAGTAAACATCTTTTAGTATAATAAAAACATCATTTTTTATTCAACCATATTTTTACTTTCACTCTCCTTTTTGACATTTTACCATACTATAAGAATCATGTTATTTCAGTTTTTCAAAGAATGCAAAAATTAAAAGTAACAAAGAATATTCCATCCATACAAGATGGTAATTAGCACTCGTTAATCAACATGAAATAATTGATGTGGTATCATCGTGACAACAGTAACATCTCAAATAGTTCAAAGTACCAAACATATTATTATTAACATAAATGAGGATACAACTATGAAACAACCAAGCTTGTACAACTATAAGAGTGACATTTCATATAATTCAGTTAAACCTAGTGGAGAAAAACAGAACCATAGTATTAACACACTCTAGTGGACAACAGACAATATCAGCACACTCTAGTGGAGAAACGCAGAACCACAATCAATTTAATATAACCATAAACAAACAAAAATACATCAATAGGTTTAGAGACCAGTCGACCTAGGTATCAACACACTCTGGTAGAGAAGGACGGAACCACCTTTTTTTCCCAAAACAGACGATATCAGCACACTCTGGTGGAGAAAAGCAGAACCACGATCATCTCGTGCCAAAGAAAAAAAAAACATCCACTATACCGACCCCCGATGCCGGCCCTCGAAGCCGGCCCTCGTATACGACCTCGACACAAAGTCTAACATCGAGCGCCGTGGCTCAGTGGTTAGCGTTTCGGCTTCTCATGCCGCCGGACCAGGTTCCATCCCAGCTCCCGCCAAACACTTTTTGCCCTACTCCTTCCGCCATCTTTGTGACGTCATCGAGCTCTCGACCAATCAGAACGCGGGGCTCAATGCGGGGGATTTCTACTTATAAAGCTGCTAATATCGACCAAAGGAAGCATTTATTATCAGAATTTTTTATATTTAAAACTGCATGTTTCGATTGAATAGTTTTTGGTGTGGGGATATATGACTTTGGAGTTAAGGGCTTATACTTGTAAACGTGCAACTGCCAATACTTAGTATGGTCATATATCCATCCACTACCTTGGGCTTGGTATTTGTGTATGGAAGCATCAATCTTTAAAAGTGCATTTTCAATTTGGTGTATTAAATCTCTTTTCTCAATAGTTAAGGTGGTAAGGCTTCTAAAATCTGCAATACATTCTTTTTCATTAACTAATTGCCCATTTTGATCCATTGAATATTTTATAAATTTAATTCTCCTTACTAAAGTCCATTTTATCGGAAGAGGACAAGAATGAAGAGTATTTTTAAGTTCAGTTCTAATCAATTCACCAACAAATTTAATCATTGTATATGGACATTTGATGCAAGAATTGGCGTGTCTTTTAAAATGTCCAACAACATTCGTTTTACAGAAATTACAAGTCTTGTGATTTTGTAATATATGTGATTTTAAAGCCGCATTATTATCACAGATTAAATTGCAAACTTTGCACAGTTTCACCTTCATTTGATGAATTACCTTGTAGTGGCGAATCAGATTACTTTTGGTGGAGAGCGACACGGAGCAGTGTTGACAGGTGGGCCTCATGGTCCAGAATGAAATATCACCCGAATCACTTCTATTTATAGATTTTTCGAAAATTAAAAAAAAATTTTAACCAGAATTGTGAAATTTTCAAAATTTTTAGCTAGAAATTAAAAAAATTTTAAACAATTTAACTAGAAATTACTTCAACAGGAGGTCACCCACCCAAGGCTTAATCAAGAGCTACCACTAGAGACGAGAAAACCGACCATGAGTCGGGAGCGAGAAGCCTGACCATAGGTCAGGAGCGCGCCATGAGCTGGGAGCGCGTCCGAGTTCGCGTACAAACCTCGCACTGTTAAGTTGATGATTTTGAGAATATACATGTGAATAGATGTGGATTTAAAATAGTAATGAAGTTGTACAATGGTATTGAACATTTATATAGGGGTGTACAGGCAAAGATCAGGGTTTTTGAAAAAGTGGCTAAAAAATGATCCCCATTTCCAGACATGTTTTTCAGTATTAAAAAAGTAGACAATTTATATAGAGGTGTATAGGTCGAGAGCTGGGTCTTTAAAAAAAGTGGCTAAAAAAAGATCCTGGGGCTTTGGACATTTTTTTCGCCGAAAATTTTAAAAGTTCTGGGCCAAAAAATGCCGGAAGTGCCGTCTCTTTGCTAGTTTACCACTACTTCTACTGTATCTAACTGGTAGCAAGGCACAGCATGCTTAGCACTTAATCTATTATTCCAATATTGTACAAAAAAACGTGATAGACTAACCTTTACAGGTCTGCAGACAATACGTATTCAAAATACCAGATTATCCTTATCTTTGTTGTTATTGTAGAAGTATATATGTTTCACAGCTCAATTTAGACATTACTTCAATCAATAGTCAAAAGTGAAATGATAGGTTGTTTGCTATATTTCAGCCGGGAGCGGTGCGCGAGAGGGACCGCACGCAGAAGAGCGCGCTGCACTACTGTGCTGAGAACGCGACCGTTAGCTGTGCTGAGGAAGTGCTGGCTGCTGCTCCAGAGCTGCTGGATGCGAGAGACAAGGACGGCTACACGACCCTTCACCTTGCCACAATCTCCGGCAACTGTCCACTAGTGCGGCTGTTGCTAGGCCGTGGCGCCGGCGTCAACTGTCTGGACAACGAGAGACACTCCGTCGTCCACTGGGCTACAGGTAATCAATCAAAATTTGATGGGGATAGATAAGATGTGTTTTGTTCTGGTTCGAGCTTAGTTGCACTTGGGCCTATCTAAGTGTGTACAACACCATGCCCGCCGTCGAAGAGGACATAGCTACAAAAAATAATGATTATATTTTGTAATGGAATGACATGTGATTTAGTAATTTGTATGTTTACTCATATGACTATGGTTACCAGGGGTTACTATGTTGTTGACTTGTTTTGAAGTGAGTTGTTGTTAGTTGAATGTTGAATAAAAGTTCTTGGAAGAATTCGTTTTATTCTATCTTTACATGGTGGCAGCGTTTAGACTGAAGAATAATATTTTAAAATGGAATTGACACCAGAGTTACTGAAAGATATATTAAACTCTGTTCTAAATACTAAAATTAGTGAAGAGGCTAAATCTAGGCAAGAACCTATGTACCAAGTCAAACCTCCTGATCCTTTCAACTTCCAAGATCCAGCAACATGATCAAACTGGATAAAGGTATTTGGAATGTTCCGTAAAGCTACTGGGTTGGCTTTAAAATCTGAAGATCAGCAGGTGAACATGTTATTGTACTGCATGGGCCAAGAAGCTGAGGAACTTCTAACGTCACTAGGAATGTCTGAGGAAAAAAGGGTTTCATTTGATGTGGTAGTGACAACTTTTGATGATTATTTTTCTACCAAGAAAAATATATTTTACCATCGAGCTATGTTTCTACAGAAAGACCAATGTCCAGGCGAGAAGGTTGACTCTTACATTAATGATTTACATAAAATGTCAGAGAAATGTGAATGGTCATGCAGCAATTGTAAGAGTAGACATTTTAATGATGAAATGATACTTCTTAAGCTTGTTACAGGGATGTCTAATAAGAGTTTATCCAAACACCTACAATTAAAAGATGGGATAACGTTGACTGGGGCAGTTCAAGCAGCAAGGCAAGCAGAAGCGATGGAACAACAGGCTGCTAACTCGGAAGAGATAAGCGAAACATCAGTCATGGAAACAAGAAAGACGTTTTCATCAAGGTTTGGTAAAACCAGCGACACACAGTTTGGTAAGGCCTCAGCATTTAATCAAAATAGTCAGAAATGTAGTCGGTGTGGTTCAAATCAGTTTCATTCCAAGGAAAAGTATCCGGCAGTTGATAAAGTTGGTTTCAAATGCGGATTAAAAGGCCATTTTAGTCGGGCAGGTAAACGAAAAAGTTTCAATTCAGTAGTTCAAGAGGTTGAATTTGAACCATCATCTAGCAAAGTTAATCCATTTGCAACACACGATCCAGGCTTATTGTATCCAGTTCTGTTACGATTGATGAAAGGGTGTCAAATATAAGTTCCTCCCAGCCGTTTTATGTAAAACTTTTGGTTAATGAGACTGATTATCTTAACTTCAAAATTGACACGGGTGCTGATGTCAGCTGTATTGGAATTCAACATGCACAGATTTTGAATCTTAAGATTGAAAAAACTAGTATCAAGTTAAAAGGTCCTGATTGTATACCACTTAAAGTAATTGGTAAGTCAATCGTGAGCTTAAAGAAAGATGGTATAGATCATGGAGTAAGTGTTTATTCTAAGCAGCCAGAAAGAGCCCCTCTTAGGGAGGACAGGTGTTTCGGCGGCAAACGGGTTTCTCATTTTTTGTCTTTCCCGCCACTTTGACTGACAAGTGGTGGGGGTGTAAAAAGCAACCCTTTTGGTCAGTCGCAACACTCGTGCCGTCCGTGACAGTCGTGTTTTTTTGTGCTACAGCACACTGGGCGATACATTGTCCAGGCGGTTCAATTTTCATTCATTTTAAAGTCATTAATTACAGTCATTCAATTCAAGGTCATATTATTCATTCATGTTTGTTCAATTTTTCATATTTTAACCATTCAATAAACTCAGTGTTTTACAGCAACACGTGCTTTTCATTTATACAGTCCACTACAAACAATTACATCCATTTTGAATTTGCTTAATATAGTACGCCGTGCGCCAACATAGAAATTTGGTCCTTCGAGCCGGATATCCAGTGGAAAAGTGCCTTTTTTGTGGATTAAGTGCATTGCTGAGTGCAAGTTTTTAACCAAAAACAGTGAATTTCGGCAGAGAGAGTTTGGAGTTGGAACTCACCCCTTCAACTTTATCACCAGAGGCCAGTCCCGAGCTATTGTTCCAAGAGCCCTAGCAGCCCTTCGCAGAACAACCTCGTTGGACCCTTCTCGTCATTGTGTGAGTGAGTCGCCACCATAAAATTTCGCTTCCCTTCCTTTCAACACTTGTACTTTCAACTGCGATCCTCATCATAAAAGTCTCCTTGTCATTGAACCTGAAAGCCTTAAGACTGCCACTTTTTCCCTCACCAATTGTAACAAACCATTCACAACTAAAATTTCCTCCGATTCACTATCCCACCATCCTGGATACCCTTGCCTTATTGTATTTGTTAGCCTGCATTCCATGATCGATTAACCATTCCTTATTCAAAATATAAACCTTGTGAGTTTGACGCCACCTGTTTAAAATGCCAGATGAAAATACAGTCTCAGATGATGCTAATCAGCTCAAGGTGTTGATACATAAAAGAGGTCAATGCAAAGCCAAGTTAACTAGATTTCAAACGTATTTAGTTTCCCAATCTACGACCTTAAATTAAGAAAAACTCAGATTAGGTAAATTAGAATCAACATTCAATGAGTTTGAAAACATTCAAACTCAAATCGAGCTGCTTAATCTAGATGACTCCTCGCAATCTGAGGAAAGAGATTCATTCGAATCCTTATTCTTTTCAATCTCAAGTAAAGCTGAAACAATCATTCAAGACCATTCATCAAATCCTCAAACAAGCATTAACAATTCTTCTTCTGATAGCCATAGCCCAAATTCAACACCCCTAATTCCAGTTAAATTGCCGTCAATAGACATGCCCTCATTCACCGGAAGGTATGAGGACTGGATAACATTTTCAGAAACTTTCAATGCTCTTGTTCATGAAAACAGTTCTCTAAGTGAAATACACAAATTTCACTATTTGAAATCAGCATTAAAGGGCGAAGCAGCACTAGTTTTAGAATCACTGGAATGAACTAAAGTACTGAGTAACTAAAGTACTAAAGTAACTGAGTAGTTAAATGTCGTTAACTACTCTGTAGCTAGGAACATTTTACAAAAACGTTATCAAAACAAACGTATTATTGTACAAACTCATGTGAATGCAATTTTAGCGAATTTCCCATATAGGGAATAAGCTATTACCGTAGTACTCATGGTAAGACCTGGACGCGGGACCGATTTTTTTTTTCGTCTTGAGGTCCCTAGAGGCCAAAAACACCATCCGTTCAAATTCATATATATATATATATATATATTTATATATATATATGTGTGTCCGTCAGCACGATAACTCGAGCAAAAATGATCCGATTTTGATGAAATTTGGTACAAATGTGTAAACGTACGTTTATTCGAACGAGTTCGCGATCCAGCATGATCGGACCATGTGAACGGGGGTTTACGGGGGGTTTTATTGGGTAAAAATAGGTTTTTCCCATTTTTGACCCAAAAAACATAAAATTTAGCAATTTCTTTCCAAACCATTTTGTAGAGCTTAAAAAAAACAAATAATTTAGTATATTGAAGCGTTATCATGCGCCTAATGGTTACGGAGAAAATTCCAAAAAATTGTAAATTTAAAATTCCCATGTTATTCTTATGGAGAATAAGTAATCTGTTGTAGTTTGCTTGTTTGTGAACATATTTTGATCAAATTTGGAAAATGTTTTTATTTCTTACTAACTATTCACATTTTACAAAAAAAAAAAAACAGTTTTACCCTCCCTGATGCAGCAAACCTAAGTACTTGTTAAACTAATTCTATTTAAATCAAGAATAAATGTTATATTTTTAAGTAGACATTTCAGTTTAAATGCAATCAGTCAAATGGAAATTCGCTAAGTCTGCAGGTTTGCTGCGGCGGGGGTATTCGACCTTCCTGCAGCAGACAAGGAAACTGCGTCGTGTCTTAGACCATTGCTTGATGGAGTGTTAAAGGCATGTACGTGCGCTTAAGGTATTAGACCTAGACACAGATGGCTGGGACCCACTCCTCTTACGGATTATCACCGGCAAACTCAATTCCAACTTGCTGGGAGAATGGGAGCTTTCAACAAAACCCGATACGCTTCCAACATTTAATCAACTAACTGATTTCTTTTAACAAAGGTGTCAAATGTTAGAGACAACCAGTACACAAAGCGCAACAGCACCCAAACAGAACAGTAGCTCTTCTAGCACATGGTCCCGAACAACAAAACAAAAAACATTTATGGCCATACAGAGCTATAGCAACTCTCGTATATGTAATGGTAAACATCCAATTTACAATTGCCAAATTCTGCTGAAATCACCAGCAGCTGAACGTTATCAAAAACTTACAAATGCCGGTGTATGTTTTAACTGTCTTAAACCAGGGCACGACGTGTCCAAATGCAATTCAGTAAAGGGTTGTAAATTTTGTTCAAGGAAACACAACACTTATTACACCCTGCAGACCATAAACCGTCCGTTTGGCAACCCACCAATAACGGAGGATCCACCGCAACAAAACCACATGAGGGAACAAAAACCTTATTGTCTTCTAATGCAGTCGGTTTGGCACAGGGCATCCTAAACACCGCCGTAGTGCAGGTCAGTGGGCCGACGGGCCGAGCAATAAAATGCCGAGCCCTTCTGGACAATGGGTCAGAGTGTTGTTACATCTATGAAAACATCGCACAGCAGTTGGGATTGAATAAGGTCAAGCAGAGCATACAAGTGTCCGGCGTAAATCAAACCGTTCAGAACGTAAATGCAACTACATCAGCCACAATAGCTTCGTGCGTTACGAACTTCAAGACAAAACTACAATTCCTAATTGTTCCTAAGATAACAGGTAGGATACCATCAGAGCAAATTGATGTATCTAATTTCAAAATTCCTAACCCCATCATTCTAGCAGACCCCTCATTCGGAAAGC